AAGCAAAAGTGACTGAATACGAATAAAAAATTTGCCAGAATTTGGCTAATTGAATCATAGTCCATAGTCCATAAGTAAGCGCATCCTATCAATGGACATTCATAAAAATGAAAGATACGATAAAAATATAGAATGATGAATTTTTTTCTAGAATTTGTTGTTTATAGTAGCTGACTTTTATTTTTTGCATCTTAAAAACACAATTTATTAGTAGCTGCTAACAGATAAGAAGCCTTTAATAATTTGAAGTGCCATAAAGTATTTTGACCGTCAGATTCTCTGAAAGATACTAAAGAGCTTTAGACATGTGTGAAGACGAACTGCAAAATCTTAAGGTGAATGTTCCGATGGTAGATAGTTCTCTCGAAAATAGGAGGATGGAAGGAAAAGTGATGCCTCGCTATGGAATAGCGATGAAAGTCGGGAAGTTAAGCGCCTTATGGGATTCTACGAGTTCGAGGTGTTTTGTGGGAAAAGTGCCTTCTACGTCGACGTGCCTCGTGTGCAGACGTGCGCGAAAATGCACCATTGATTTTTATCCGTGAAAAGTAGGCTTCCATGAGCGACTACGAAAGGCTGGATAGAGGAATATCGCGATAGGTAAGCAGGTGCATACTCTGACGCATACTCTGGCGAAAATAAGAGCACAATAAAGACAAGCTATTCTGAATTTCTTCCAACTCTTCGTGGCAACAAATATTTATTTTGTTATAAATCAATTAATTCAACATGCGTCATCTTAAAAAAAAATTAGACATATTTCGTCCTTTGTGCATGCAACATGTCAATTAGACGAATCAATTCGATACCAACAATTAAGTATGCAAATACAGCGATTTGAATAGTCCATATTAGTTTTTTCATATAAAAAACTAGTATAAACATTCAAATAATATTTCTCTCTATTTTATATATATACATACATATACATAGAGAAAGAGAGAGAAATTATTTTATTTATCACAAAAATGCTATAACTGTATGTCCACTTTATATTTTCTATACATATGTATACATTTTGCCCGATAATATCTGACATACGACCAAACAAACAATATCGAATACTATTTATTTTATATATATTAACTATTATTCAAAAGTCACGAACTTTTTTCTACAAAAAAAATTTTACAAAATATTTTATATGATCAAGTACATACACGTTTGTTCAAATGTCACTCGTTTTCGATAAAAATGTCCAATATAAAAAAAATATATACAGATGCATAGGTGCACTAATAGATGATCATCAACCAATCGAAATCTAACCCCGTTTTCACCCAACTTATCTTTTTTATACACGCCGTTTTTCCATTTTCTCGCCCCCTTTGTTTTGGCCTCTTGGCTTTACGAAAGAGGCTCTCTTATTCTGAACAGCTCGCCCGGGACAACGTGATCGGAATGCTCATTGGTAATTCAGATCGACCGCGACGCGAGTGTGTTCGTAAGGGTGTGACAGTGGAATAAAGATAGCAGACCTTCAGAAGTTCTATAGATGCTTACTCCAAGAGTCATTCTTGTGTCAGAAGTAGTGAAACGGATCGGGATATGGGTCGGCCAGTTGGATTGAACTGAATAAAATATCTCTCTGATACTTAAGCTTTTCACGCAAACTTATTCTGTACCGTACCGTACGTATTCTCTGAAACGGACTCTTATCGTCATTATTAAAATAAAAAGTAAATTTGCTCGGCTCTGGTTATCAAACGCATACATATATACAAACCTGACATTTTTCCTTCAAATATCGCTTTTTTAGCTCGTTTTTTCGTCCATTCATATTTTCCACAACTTAATATTTCTATCGCAACATGCACATTGTGCGATAGTTTCGATACAAAAATTCAACAAAAATTGCGAAATAGACATAACTCGCAGCGAGAATATTTCACGGTTCGTGATCCAATGATAAAGAGAAACTCGTCACATGCGGCATCAATATTTTCTCCTCTCTTCTTGGAATCAGCCCGCAGCCTTAGAATCCGGAACGTCTGGTATTTTATATTAAAAGTCTCAGCCCCGCGTTCTTATGCTATCATGGCATTTTTGTTCGGATGTGGTTTACGTGAGGGACGTGGGATTGTATCTCGAAATCTCTTTTCCAGAACTATCTCGCTTTCAGAAATCTGACTGATACCGCGGCTCCGGAAAGTCGCAGAGGATATGCGTGCCACACGTGCACACATCACTGGATTGATATTTATGGGATTTCATAATTGTTTTCGAAATACCCGTCGCATCTAAGTCGATCTTGCAATTCTCGCATTCCTCTTACGCGATAATAAACGAAGCTTATATCGATCGATCCATATATACCATTTACGTATAGCTGAAATCCAAACGTATCTCGGATTGCATTTCCATTTCCAAGCAAATTAAGATTTACGAACAAAATTCCAGCGGATGGGTTCTCCATATTCGTATCGTAATTGCTTTATACAAGAAATATCGCGGCATCGAAAGCTTATTCCGCATGAGGGAGATAAATTCTTCAAAATTGTTAAAATTTATTGAAAATATATTTCAATTATTCGTCACCTTGTGTACGAAGAATAAACAAATTTTCGAATATTTTCTTCATATGGAATTTAATTTAATTTTTTAATGATTATTATTACACACACTTGCAATTATCGTTAAATAATTAAAAAGATATTTAATTCATGGAACATCAAGTATTGTTTATATAAGCCATCTCCCTCTGTTGATAATAAACGCCTCGAAAATGACATTATTCTAACAAAGTTTCGATACAGGAATCGCGCGATAATCGAAGTTAAACTCGAGGTACGACAGGAAATAGACTATGCTATATTCGGAAAGCTCAAATCTGAAGAGCAAAGTACTTCGTGGTGGCGCTTGGAGACACCATTCTCCGTCGTATGGAACAGCGTGGAAATTCAAAAGCGCATGTTTGTCGTCCACTCGGCGAACCCTTCTGGAAATTGGCCCGGTGTCACCGGAGAATTTCAGTACCCTCTCTTGTGGCCCTGTCCACGCGAAGCGCAAGGGAATCCAGTAAAATTAAATCAAGAGGACTTTCGTCCTTTCGTCCGTCGAAAAGCCGCGGGACAGCTATTACTACACATGTGTATTCATGTAATACTGCCGAACAATGACTCTCATTTAAATGTTATCGATTCAAAGACCACATACACATTTGTATCTTGCCATTTTAATAAGAGCGGTATATTTTTTAAAATAAATATGATATATTTCTATATTTTGATTAATTTTTACATATCTTGCTTTGCATGGCGAATATTATGCTTTCTCTTGCATAAAATTGAGATGTAAATATTAATACGTTATACAAAAATATATAAAGTAATGAAATAAGAAATGCGTATTAAATATGCCGAAAAATATGTTAACAATATATAAAAAAATCGATATCATGTGTGAATTTTTATAAATTTCCCCGCATTGTTGGTGCCTATGCATTTAACATAGTGTTGTAAATCTTTTGAATCTAGGCCTCTTTAACATCGCCCGCTTTTCGGAAATGGTGGAATGGTACCGTAAGGTATATCCGTTGGATAGCTTCCAGAACGCGGTTGCAGCAGCTTTGGGGTCGAAATATCGCGACGGTTGTGGGGTTGGTATTACTGATATTAGCGTCGCCAGTAACTCTTTCGAAATAGTCTTGGCACGTACCAAGCTCGTGTTAACTTCTTCCTTTTCTTGAATCACGGCTTCCGCCGAATTACAGACGCTCTCCTCTCGCGCATCCTTTGACGATTATTGCGATCTATTAGTTTGCGATTAATTACATATTTTTCAGCTAAACAACAGATGTACAGATTGCTACTTTAAATGTCCATTCCATATTATGTGCTCTTATTAATTCATTACAATTTTCTCGTTGTAAACATGATATTGAAACGCGCAAAACCCCTAGATATATGAAAAATATATATGAAATATTTGGAAACAATATCGAAGTGTTATGAGAGAATGATAAACAAAATAGCTGCAAGTTGGATCGATCTTATTCGAAAACACGCGAGAAATGAAGTTTTCCTATACCACATTGGATATAACGGACGAGCGCATTTTTTAAAATTGGCATCGATGTACGAGCTATGTCGATCTTTTTTCAGATTCTGTTTCGCCACATCGTATATCAATGGAATAGGGATTTGGACACGAATACCATCAAGTTTGATTCTGCGCTCGTATGACGCTTTTCCTATTGCTATTTATTTTGCTTTATTCTTCGACAGTCATTCACCTCGCCTCACGCCTTTTCTTATTCACTGTTTTGATAACAAAGCGTGAAAATACGTACTCAACAGCTATTTACATAATGATAAAAATATTCTTATGCGATTTGAGTAAGAGTTCCAATCTTTTACAGATAAGAGATTTTATATTTTTTATAATAATAAATTAAGATAATTATAGAAAATTATAGAGATATAATGATATCTTTTTATAATAGAGATTATAGAGAGATATATTATATTTATAAATTCATCTTATTTTTTATTTTTAACATTTTTATTTCGACAAAAAACGCCCGTATCAAGTAAGTTCCTGTATGTAATGAGAAATTTAGAACAAGCCAAGATGTAATTAAAGTATGTACTTATATTATTACTTTAATGCTTTTATCACATTACTATATTTTCTGTAGAAGTTCTCTTTATGTTTTATACTTAAAAGAATAAAATGTCATATTAATAATATAAAAAATAATAAAGCGCGCTCCTTTACAAGCTAATAAATTATCTCTTCGTAATATAATTGTGTAGGAAATGTATTTAACATGACACCTATATTTACCGATATATAAGCAAGTTATTTTCTGTTTTCTATGAAAGGCATTTGATATTTATAATATGATAACGATTATCGAATTATAAATGTCACATCTTTTAATATCAATTACAAAGATGTGCGACTATATGTATAATAATTATGAACAATAAGTGAATCAAAAGAGAGCGCAGAATCAAGCTTTTCGTTATATAAAAATATATCATGTAAGTACTCACCCCAATTCTCAAAGTCCGCAAACGAAGTCACAGGAATTATGGATACACTTGATATATAGTTTTATTAACAGCGTACACTGTCTCGAAATTATCTTGAGATCTGAAAAGATGACACGTTTTCAAATTAACAATTCTAGAAATGAAGTAGGATGTAGAATAGCTCTATGCACTCTACACTGACACGATGTCACTAGCACGCTGTCTTTCTCGTTGACGAAACTTGTCACACGTTCATTTTCACATATCACTATAGTTCAGTCATAACATTTTATACCGTAATGTTCATCCTCGCACAAAATTTGTCATTAATAGCACACAAGGATTACGTGTCAATTTCGAGTACTTAGATATTTTTGCATATATCTTTAGAGATAATAAAAAGTGTCTGTGTAAATACATACATTTATATTGAAAATTAAATTTCTCGAATATAATCTAAGATTCCAAACAAAATATATTAATTAATAACAAATCAACGTAACTTATTCTTCACCACAATTAGGCTTATTATTTTCCTACATATTTTTCCTAACAAGATACTATATATTAAAGTAAATTTCAACACACATCTTACTAAAATTTCCGACTTTAAAATATTTTTAAATTATAAGATGATATCAAAACATTTTTACAAAAGCACTAAATGCATAGTGAATTCGCATCAACTCTGATTATTTCTATAATATTGCTATTTTACTATTAATAATTAACTATTATGTCGAGCTACCTATAAATGCAAGCGCTTTTTATTGGTTATTGGTCGTGGCCTCTTTCACGCATACACGCGTGCTTATTCATTGTACAACAATGTCGAGTAGATGGTTTAATTGCGAATTATTGAGCCATTGCGAAATTCAATTGCCATATAGGTGTCTCACGCGTCTCACCCGCACGCATAGCACGCAAGTGAAATCGTGCGTGTAAAACGCCTCACCGATGCCCAACGCGCATCCATACGATTCTTCCCATTTTCATAACGGAATTCAGTTTAATGAACACGCGTGTTTTATCCTATATAGATGCCCATTATTTTCAGTTTACATATCGTAAAACATCGGAGAAATACGTATAAATGTCTCGTCCCATACAGCAATTAAATAGTTACAACATAAATTTCTTAATATTAAAATTTAAAAATAATGATATCATCCTGTAAAATTATAAAAGAGAATGAATTATAAATTATATCAAGAGGCAAAAGATAAATTAAAAATTATGGCAAAAAATAATCCGTTTATTTTACACTGTTATTTTTGTAGCTAATAACATTGTAATAACCATAATAAAAACTTTGTAGTAGTTACATTATTAGGTTTATATATTTGAAACATTCTGTTTTAATTTCAATGATGAAATTATATAAAAAATTCTTAAATGAGACTGGAATTTTGTAGAGTATTTCGAACTTTTGACTAAATAAAAAAAAATACAACTGTACGTGAATGCAAAAAAATGGCGTATTTTATTTTAAATTAAATACCTCTGTGAATGGCTGAGAGGAAAAAAAAACATTTTCACTGAAATGTTTCGTTAAATCAATTTTCTTTTTAACTTGATTTAACATAACAAAACTATTTGAATTTCATTGAAAAAAATCGAAGCTTCTGATGAACACTGTAAATGCTAAATATTTTATTTTATAGTGCCATTCTACATGGGCATTTTTTCATATGTGCTCGATATTTTTAATCATATATATGCTTCAATGAATGAATTCTTACATGCTCAATATTTTCAAAATAAATTTATTGACACTGCATATAAAATATACCATTATCTTAATATAATTATTAAAGTAATTTAATGATGCAATTATTTTCTTGTTAACATAATCATTTGCAAATTGCTGTTTATTTAGCATTAACTTTAGTGCACTGAATAATTGAGAGAGAAATCCTATATATACATTAATATAAACCAAACTTGATTTGATATATCCGCAATTATTGTAATAATATAGGATTATTATAATAATACAAGAAAAAATCTATATCTGATCCGATTCTATATCTGATCGTCTATTATAGCTAATCGAAAAATTCAAACAAATGTGCTGCATAAAAAATCATTTAAATCTTTTATTATATAAAAGTGTGATTGTGCTTATATAATAAAGATCTCTACGAAGGGTCAATTTCTTATCAATTTCGCATATACTGCGCATGATACTCGCGGTGCATTGCCCTCGAAGCAACGACCTTAATCCCGCGTGATTAATCCGTAACGAAGCAACCCCGTAGGAGATCAAACAGCTTCACATTCAATTTCTAATATAAACCTAAGCATATGAAACAATAAAATAAAATGATTGACACAATTCGAGCTACACGAAATCTCAATCAACTGAAACACTTTTTGTGTCTCTCCACTATCCCATCGTTCAGTAACACTGTATAGCCAGAGAACAATTTGACAAACCCAAAAATGCTCTTTACACACGGTCTTAAAAATCTTAAGGGAATGAAAAAAACTACAAAAACGCACTGATGATAGCTCCGAAAAGTTTCGCTGGCGATCCCGATCGATCGTAACGACTCGCACGTCAATTTCGCGGGATCAGCGCATCGATCGGTCATTCAAACGCAACCAGGGAATATGCGACCCCATCACGAGGGATGATGCACACACGCGTACGTCACACGCACTACCGCGAACCTGCGAAGTGTCCGCGAGTAACGCAAAACGACGAATGAACGGAAGCTCTGCGCTTGAAAGCTCGCAAGCCCCACCGCCCTTTCAGCGCGTGCGGACTGGAGCGAACTTGACCGATCGGAGGCGACCGACGCCGAGGGTGCACGAAGAGCAATGGACGGGAGGGTTTGACATATCGCTGCAAGATAATTAATCGGTAGAAATATAATGCCTGATCAAGAGTGCAGCAAAGCTCTCGCTTTTTTCTGACGCGGTTTTTCATCCGTTATTTGTGCAGATCTGAAAAAGAAAAAACTACGAAGCAGTTCATGATAGAGTAATGGCGCTATTAATTTCTTCATAAAAATACTAATAAGCTCTATATACTTTTTCGTTAATCCGTTCTTTATTTGAAAATGATTTTCAAAAATAATATAAATCTCTTCTTCATAAAAATATATCGTCATAGAAATATATCGCGCTTTGGTATAAAATGAACAATTTATAGCATAAAGTTTTTACAATAGCGTATTTATGTAAAATAAAATAACGAAACAAACGAGTGATTCTAGATTCTTGAAATTTTAAATTCTTTTTAAATCTACTTCATCACCACTTTCATGACAATTTCGCGGATCCGTTTAAGATACAAGCTTTTACTTTTCGCGCGGCAATAAAAGAAAGGGTCGATAAAACGAAGTGACAATGAGATAACGTTTACGTATCCGTCGGAATCCACAGGCAGCATCGAAAAGCTCTGATTCTCCAAGCAGGCAAGGTCGGTAACCAATTTACGACTAGCACCAGCCAGCGGCCAGTATTTTATGCCCCGAAAAGAAAAGAAGAAAAGAAAGTAAGCCGCGGACAGAGACGAAAAGTGAAAGCAAAAAAAGGATGGCCTGCTCCAATCGAATTCATTTCCATCCGTGTCCAAGTACCGAATCTGCCGGCTTGGACGAGCGATTCTGTCGTACGTAAAATTCATTGTCAATACCCTTCCGGTTGATCGTAGTGGCGAAGCATTCAAATAGAACAAAGAAGCTTACACTGAAAGCGAACGGAACGGCACCAACCGTCTCTTTACTGTGAATTTTTAGTTAATCCCGTGGGGATATCGTGTCCGACGCGATCGCAAAGCAGCAAAAGAACAACATTTAAGTCTATTTAGAGCGATCAAGCGCCGGCAAGTGTTTAGGATTTGCAAGGAATGTATCAGTATAGGTAAAACATAGCAAATAAGCTTCTACGGCAATCCCATCATTGATGAATACCGTTCTTCGGATGTGGTCGGATAATTAAATACCGTCCATTCCTCTACAAGCTTTGATCCCTCCAATCAGTACGTTGCAACATATTCGAGTAAGGTACGCAACCTTTGTACGCTCCTCGACGCTTTTACGAAACAAATTGAAACGGACTCTGAATGTTTAATGTTCAGACACCTATATCCGGCCGCGAGAGCATGCTTTTTTTCACGTTCAACCTACAACAGTTTCTCTCTGCACTTTGAAATTTGTTAGCGTTCTGCTGGAACAAACAATACTGGCGATGTGCAAAGCTCGACGCTAATTAAATAGAGATCTTGTCATCTATATTGCTCTACATCCTCGATTTTCCATACAACATTTCGCGGAAACGTTAACATTCTTTTTAATTGTGATGTTAAAAACTTTTAACACATTTTTAACGGGTTATCTCGTTGATTTTAATGGTGACGCGCGTAATAACGTAAACAAAATAAAAGTAAAAAGTAAACTTTATGATAGATATAAAATAAAATTATTTTTACATTTCCTATTTTCTCACGAATAAATTAAAATCGATCGAATAATTCGATAAAATTAAATAATTCGGGTCGGTTTCCTTTGTCAGATTAAGTTTCAGCAACATAGGGATCTATCATTTGTATCATATTTTCACGAAAATTGCGTTGGCCGTCTAAAGCTCTTAATTTTACAAAGTAATACAGGAACGACGTTTGAGGCAGAACGAGGCCGAGGCCGGCGGCGATGCGCATCGCTCATCAGAACCAGTATAGCCGTGATACTAGAGTTACTCGTCAAATATTTACCTCGGGTGATGCTGGCGCCAGGCAAGTGGTATCCCAGCTGATACTGCTTCGAAACGAGAATACGTTCACGTGAAAAATGTTTCGTAGTCCATCGTTTAATTGTTGATAAATATGTGAGCGATCTTTCTCTGCAATTCATCCTTAAACTCGAAAGCAACAGCTCGTTCGCGAAACATGTTCGATTATTATCGTTTCATCTCGTGAATATTTTCCTTAAAAGCATTTGCAAAAAAATCTGACGATAGGTACTCATGTATATAAAAGAAAAATCAGAATTTATTATAAAAACCTACATAGAACGTTTGTAAAAAATCCACATTTATTGTAAGATACTGCAAATAGCGTTATAAATTGAATAAAACTGGAGATAAAAGCAAATAAAATTAATGAATATACATCAATATTATGAAATATTCAAACAACTTACTACAACTGCACATGTCGCATCGATAAAATTAATCTATTAAAGTTTCTAAAATGTATTCATTTTTTTTATATATCTTATTTATTTATATCTTTTATATATATCTCTCTCTGTTATATCTCTTATTTAGTATATAAAAACTAAATTGTGATAATAAGCAAATCGAATACATAATTAATTGTATAATATAATATATTCAATTTTCTTAAATAATACATTCTTTATAAACGAAATAGGTATAATATGGCAGTAAAAACAAGAAAAGGAAATAAAAGATTCAGCATAATAAAACTTAATAAATTAGTCTAGAAGGGGGGGGGGATATTTGCAATTACAATAATAAAAAAAACGTCCAAAGTTCAGATAAACTCAATAAAATTATCTAAATGAAAAACATGATATTTTTACATCCATTTTTATATATTTTATGTTCATTTTGAATTGGAAAAACATTTAACTTTAATTTAAACATTTAACTTTAATTTAAAAATTGAATTCAGATAAAAATTGATTTTAAATTGATATTGTAGATAAGAGAATTGCAAATATTCCTGTTATTTTTTTTAAATTGTTTAAAATATTGATGACAAATTAAAAATTATTGTATTTTATAAAATATTTCAAAAAAAATACTAAAATAAATAAGATACAATTCGTGTTAAATGTTAATTCGTGTTATATATTAATGCTAATTAACTAGTGCGTATTAACCAATTCACTGGAACACCCGAAATCAACGTTTTGTGCCAAAACTGGTGAGAGCAAATAAATTCGTATTTTACAAAGTTTATCTATAAGAGGTTTTTTGGTCACAGATAACGGATTAGTTCAAGATATTCAAACTTGAACATATCGAATTTGAATCTTCTCTAATGGAATAACAAATATAATAATAAAATAACAAAATTAATTCACCATACTAAATCCGCCATTTTGAATTTTAAAATTTCGATCCCAAATTTGTCATCAGCGAAAAATATGTGTATCAAGTTTCATGTAAATCCGTTGAAAGTTGGCAAAGTTATTCACACTGGACTGGATGTATAAACTATTAGCAGTTGTGATACTTTTTTTTTGCCATATATAAGCCATTACCAGTGAACCGGTTTAAACAGCAAAGATTGGAATGAAAGGTGACCTTCGAGCGTTTTCGCAGCTTAAAGAGTTGTTAAAGAACGACAATCAGATTGAGAATAGTTGTCAAGTTATACGGACGTGTTTTAGTCTATTCTGTAAGTCTATTCTGTAAGCTTTTTGTTTTAATTGTTCCCTTTATTTATTATTTATAATTTCGTTATTATTGTTGAAGGTGTTTTTTTTTATTTGTAAGTGCGCAATTACAGTGATAGCATGTGCCGATCAGTTGTCGCGCGCGCTCGATTCATATCGACTCCAATCCGCAGATGCAACAATATATATATATAATTTTTGGCTGTTTTATATGTTACAAACCATGTGAAAACTAGCACAACGTATTTTTCTTCATTCGCAATAATATTTATCCAATTATCTCAATGATTTAAAAAATACGCGACAGGCTTTCCAATTAGCATTAATTATGTATAAGCTAATAGTTAGATGAAATTACAATAAACAAGCATGTAATCAGCAATCTCTAATTAATTGTGTTTCCGCTGATTGATTTTGCGGTATCTTTGCTGGTATGTGGACATTCCATTCTCGCTTGTTTTACCATAATTAGTGGAATGAGTATTAGTACGATATATATTTGACAAAAGAACGTCTGCGAATTTAATCGCTATACGTATTCAATGTGTGTGTGCAAAATAATATTTAAAATAATATTTATTTGTATTTCGAAATATATGCAGGAAAAAAATTAATATTACAAATTTTAACTATAAAAAGTGTAATCATAACATAGTTACATTCGTAATCGAATGAGTTTTCCTCAGAATGTAACATAACAGAGATGATAAAGAGAAAACAGGGAAAATTTGCTATTAAGTCAGCTGATGGAAATTCAGTCCTACAATTATATAAATATATATACACACACACACACACACACACACACACACACACACACACACACACAAGAATAATAATTAATTGATATGACTTCCCGACTAAATTATCAAAATACTCAACTGGCAAGACCTTGTTAAGGAAATTAAATTCGGTAATACTGACTGGATTCTCTACCGGTTTCCAATTGGACACTACGTTAATGCTAAAGATTAGCGAGAAAAATAACTCGTGAAATATCTCGTGATGACAATGAACAGTTTTTTTCCTCGCCAAAATTTTACGTTTACTATCCTCAAAAACGATTCGCAAATATTAAGTGCCATTCGGCGTTTTTAAATTCTTTTACAAGAATTACTAGCTGCATCGCAAACATATCAACTTTTTCGTTTTAAATTACAGATTTTTTTGATAACATTAATAATAACGATCATCTTTTAAGAGCATTTATTACTTCCTATGGAATTTCTTGGTTTCTTATAGCCACATATTCATATCAAATGGAAGAGCGATGGAGAATAGTTTCGGCTAAGGATCGTTTAAGGGATGGTAGTCGGGGAGTGATTCCCGTGACAGAGAACCGGGAGAGGGTGTATGGCCCCAGGGGTTAATAGATGGCCAATGTTCCCGCACACTGAGGTCAGACACTGTGTCACCTTCTCCCTGTTCGTCATTACGAATGCAGATTGGACCTCCCGCCATTACCTTGTTCTCTATCTAATCGTCGTCGGAAACGGCTACGAAACTTCCCGGAAAATTGTCCATTGTTCGATGTTGGCTGTACCTTCTATATTGGCATTTGAGTCGATACTGCCACGAAAAGTTGCAGTTGTCGCTCATCATAAATTGACAAGACGCGTTAAACGTTTATTTTCCTAAGTCCTGATCGTGTGGAGTCCTGATTGCGTGGAATGAGAAATGATAGAGGAATGACTGACAGAAAAGCTACTGGGTGATGTTTTTTTAAAGCTGAATAGATTGACAATCTCAAATTGCTTTTCTCTCTCCTTCTCTCTTTCACTTTTTCTTTCTTATTCTTTTTCTAGCATAACTGAAGATAACACACTTATATAAAAATACATACATATATATATATATATATATATATATATATGTATGTATATATATATATATATATATATATATATATATTATTGCAATTAATAAATGAATAATATCTATAACTGCAAAACAAACAGGGAAGAAGAAGATCAGGCGTGTCTAATATCTAACATTTATAACTATGAAAATTGAAAAAAATTACGAAATAATAAATAAATAAGAAACAACATCATCTTGAAACTAATTAGTCTAAAAGAATACGAAATTTTATTATATTATTAAATCTATATTATGTATAAATATGGTATAAGATTCCATAATTTTTAATACACATATATTAAATTTGTAGAAAAGATGATGGCAATCGGTTATATGTTTGGTGACCGTAAATAGAAGAGTATAACACAAAAGCCACAGAATGTAGCAATTTTCCGGTTGCGTGGTCGTGAAAAATGACCACTGACAACATTTTCGTGAAGCAGCAACAATGAGCGACATGGCTGTATAGACCATGTACGTAGATTGTTGTACACGTACGACCAATGAACATGACAGATGCGTCGTACCAACAAGACTCGGATGCTTAATGGTTCACGAACTACTCAATCGCGTTCTCGATACGCTTGATATTCCGAGCAATTAGCAATGACCGTTACAAGTAGAAGGCATAACAGCAACTTCATAAATGCATTCTCACATTACAGAATATTCTCATTTTACAGATATATGTGAAAGTATTCTCTTCCAATTTTAATAGGCTCTTTGAATATTCTATATATATATATAATAACTTAAAATAAGAAATGCATATTTTTTATAAGTATTTTTTGAAAATATTTTAATTGAAATAATCTCTTCAACATACCGAAAATCCATCAAAATCGAATAATGACATTTGTTAATACAAATTCAAAATGTAATTGGATTTGCTGAATTAAGATTTACTCATTATGACCAGCATTTAATAATTTCTTTGTATAATTTTTGTATATTTAAAAAAGTTTTTGTAACATTAGAATCTTCTTCAATTAAAAAAAAAATATATATATAGGGACCAAAATTTAAGAAATAATTCTTCATAATAAAAGAGAAAATCAAGAATAAAGACGAGAAAATCAAGAAAATTTCGATATAGGTTTCTTTTTGTAGTTATAAATTATAAATGTTTGAAAATTTGCATCATTTGAAAAGGCACCTCAAGCACGGCAATTCACCGATCTTGAGCATGCGTTAGTTAGTTATATCGGTAAAGTCATTATCAGAATGCACTGTGACACATAAGTACACAAGCTTATCTCGTAGTAGCTGATGTAACATCTGCGATATTCAGCAATATATTTTTCTCTAGCAAGCCTACCATACTAAATATCGTACATTTTACATCAGCTGCTACAAAGCAAGCTTCTGTTCACATGTGTCACGGTGTATTTCAACAATGACAAATATATATATATATATATATATATATATATATATATATACTTGTTTATATAATAAAATGCAACAATTTTTTATAAATGTATATGGTAGATTTAAAAATATAATATTAAATATGTATTATTTAATATAATATTGTTTTTTAATGTCATACAGCGTATATAAAACATTCTTACTTATTCATAATTAGATGTTTCAGATGTAGCAAAGTTAAACATGACATTTCGAAAACGTCTGTAGAAGATTAATTATGCAATGTTTTCTAGATGCAACAAGGTCCACAAGTTTTATGAATACGATTATTTCAATTGTATGATTATTTCTCTTCTCTGACGTTGAATAAGTAATCAGTGTCAATATTATCGATTATAAATCACTTTACCAAGAAAAATTTTATTCCTACCTACAAATTATTATCATATTAAACACTCTACATCTTATATTGAACTACATTAATCGGCTTTGCCAAGAAACTTCTAATTAAAAGTTTTTTACAGAATAAATCAAAATTATATAATTATCATAATTATCATAATTATATATATCAAAATTATATACAGAGATGCTATATCTGTGGAAAAATAATAATAGCAATAAATACAAATGAATTGGAAGAAGAAGTAAAATTAAGATAGGTTCAAGTCAGAAAACGCAATTGATTTAAACGATTTCAATTATAGCATATAATATGTTGTGTTCTTATGTATATAAAAATATTTTGAGGTTACGCGAGAAATAACCAAAAATAATGCTTAAATAATTGGTCTATATAAAGAAATTGATTAAAATAGAAATCACAGAAAATTTTTCAGTCTCCCTATAAAATAATGTAGTAGCAAATAAGTGTTACATATAACAATTAATTACATGAAAATTTCACAATGCAAAAAGAGGAAGAAAAATAAAAAGTGACCAGCGAAATAAAATTTCCTTAAATATATTATTTTTTTATATACATATTTTTTTCCAAAATAATCTGTAATTTCACATTAAATGACAAAAACATATTATATATTCAACATAAAATATTATATATTTCTGTCTTTTTTTCATTATATTTAATAGTGTTTCCAACCGATATTTCCTGTTTCCAATCGATATTTTTAGTATCAGTTTTTTTGCCACTTACGTATCATCAATTAATAGGAGAAAAAAGACGTAACATAAAGAGTACGTTCAATATAAATTCCGCTATTTTTTAAGAAGTATTTGATATTGATTGATTTGACAATATAAATATATATATATATATATATATATATATAACACAGATTTCTACATATTATATCTAGACCGCTAACAAACAGCTATGACTCATACTCAGACTTAAGATGCTCTCTATTTTAACAATAAGTACAAAATTCATCAATTTAAACCTAAAACAAAATTTTACAAAATTTCTGAAATAAAATAATACAAGAATGTATACGCCTTTAGTCGTGCATTTGCACGCAGTGGTGTTTTAATGCGTCATAGAGCTAATAATATAAAAACATAATATGTATCTAGCGCAAGAAATCTAATACAAGCTTATCTAATCTGTCGAGCGCACATAATTCTAAAGAACATGCAGCTAAATTGCTTCACTCCTGATTTTGCACATTTGTATAAAGCAGTTTTTTCTTATTTAAATATGATTAAAATCTTCCAATGCTACTGCCTGATATATTGCTGCAAGCAAACCTAACCTTTATCATTAGATAACATATGTAATATAAATTACTCAAATCATGAATTAGCAACTTACGCATCAAACTTACAAGATAACTGGCTGTGATCAGAATTTCAATGAATAAACATACTTAAAAAAAAATATGATTGATGATAATTGGAAATAATATCATTAATCAAGCAAAAACAGAGATACGAAACAAGATCAAGCAAAAATGGAAATATAAAAAGTTGTTAAATAATTATACATATTATTTATTAAAGATCCAAAGAGCAAATGATTAAAATAATTAAGGATTAAAACAAGAGAAAAAAATAACAAAAGTCGATTTTAATCGTTTTTGAATGATGAAGTTTGTTTAATATATATTATTACATATTATGTAACTTGCATAATTCTTTTCACTATAATCATATCTCTTTCTATGATTTAGTAAAATTTTCTCCTCTTATCTTTTCATTTCTTTTCTCCGAAACTATCCGTGATCGACCTATTCGTTACCCTTCTCTGGCATTATAAATACATTTTTCTATGCAATTTCTATTAGCATAGTTTTTACATAATTGCACACGATACTATAACCAAACCGATGCACGCGATAGTAATTTTACATGGGAATAAATTGCACTAGTACGTATATAGTGAAATGATAGGTAGATGAAGCCAAACGAGACAGCAAAAGGGAAAAAAGAAAAAATAGGAAGTATAAAAAAATAACAATAAGTAACAATAAAACAATTCATCGGACATCACAGCAACATAAGATGCTTTTGCCTGTCTTCTGCATCTTTTTCCACAATGTTCATTAATTAAAATTTATATTATTTATATTATTTATATCATTAATTAAAATTAATGAAATTTCTTTTGCAACTCTTCTTCCAATCAGAATAAAGAATTAGATAAAGAAGTTTTGCAATTTTTAAAGTACATTTAAATTAAACATAGATTGTTCAAAATCAAACGAAATATCCGACCGCCAACGCGAATAATTAACGCGAATAATTATTCGCGCAGTAGATTTCGCGTGTAGTAGATAGCGCCCGCTCCGAGACCGCTTCGCTGCGAATTCGAATCTCAGTCGACTCGGAAAAATAACAAACACGAGCGACCGCTCACTTTCGAAAAGATTCTCTGCTTTCTTCGATTTAACTCAAAATTAATTTTTCATCGTTGAGAATCTTCTCGAAGGACGATATAAAACCACGCATCCGATGCCGTGTCCATCACTTCAAGTTTTCCGCCAGTCTGAAACCGCGTTGTACGAGAAACAACGAGTAATAGATTTTCGCTTTTTTCGATTTTAATAGTCTTCATCGCACTGAATCGACTATTCTCGGTACTTGCAAGGCAGTGGCCTGCTTGCATAGCATTTGTTCGCCGCTTTCCTTCTTTTGCAAATTACATTTTTTTTTGTACTCTTTTGTGTGTGGAGCAAAGTCCTATAGTCAAGTAATTCTTTGTTTTCTCTTCCACCTTTTGATTAAACTACCCGGATCACGAGTATATATTCGTACATAGATATAGCAACATTATAATTAATATTAACCTATCAATAATCTATAATTGTAAAATAATATAAATATTTTATTCTCTTTTCAACATATGAATATGTACATATACATTATTTTGCCTTAAATGTAACTATACAATTAATAATAATATCTATATGCATCGATTAAATTGATGCACGTATTTCTAATTGCAAAAATATCTTTAATTCAATTTTTAATTCATTTCGTTTAACTTCATTAAATGAAAAAAAAATTCAGCGAGTCAGAAACATATTCAATGAGTCATGATTTTTAAGTATAATCAGTCGAGAAGCGACTGCCACGAACAGTTCAAACGAACAGTTAAACAATGCGTATGAATGGAAATGTAAATTAATATTAATTATTAACATAATTCTTTAATTCATATTAGTAGTATTGTTTTTAAAGTCATATGTTAAAAATAATATGTTAAAAATAATTATCTTCATTAATATTAACATTTCGATAAAGAAACGATGAAAATAATATATTCATAATTATTATACATATGGATAACATATGTAATAATTTTAGATTGTGTTCCTTTTATTTTGTGAAGGACAATAAACACCACCATAAAGATGATTAAATTAGAAATGCCTCCATTTAAAGAAATATTAAAAGATACTGGAGGAAACGAACAACTTCTAGAAGAGCTACTGATTAAACTTCGACTATGGTTGAAGCAGCAAATTCATCTTCCTGAAGGTTTGCATTTTTAAATTTAAAGAAAAAAAAGTAAGATCTTATTAGTCAATTTATTACATATCATCTTCAAATCTGAAGAGCATATTTCGTAAATGTACTGATAAAAATATAATTAAAATATATATACACATAGTTTATATAAAAGGAGAAATTATGCGCGAAGAATTAGTTGATCAGAAATCAAATATTAAATATTTAAGAAACAATATTTTCTTTCTTAGTTTATTATAATAAATACATATTATATGTTATGAATCGTCCCCTATCTCCTGAATAATAACCGACTGACAATTCAACATACAAGATCATTATAGAATATAAAATGGCAATTATTTTAAAATTAATATTAATATGTACATTTATATTTATGTTACGAATATATGTTTTACTGTATGTAATATAGAAAAATATTAATTTTTATTATATCTAGTATACGTATATAACTTTTGCGCGCATAATTTCCACAAAGTGGATTATTTTATTGCTTTTCCAAATCTCATAGCTCTTTAATTATTAATAATACACAAAATTAATATGTTACATCTTTGTAATATATATTGACAAATATAATAGGATTTCAACCTTTGTTTATATTTATTTATGATTTCTTTCATTCATGAAATCTTATATCGTATGTAATAATCAATATTATTTTATACTTCACAGATATCTCTGAAAAACGATTAAAGTTCTACATTTACAGTGCAAAATTTAATTTAGAAAAAGTTAAGAAACGCTTGGATTTGCATTATACTCTTCGTAATCTAATTCCGGAGATTTTCACAACTCGTGACCCATTGGCCGACCGTATGCTTAAAATAAATACATATATGTAAGTCTTTAAATAACACTTCAAAGTTGTCGGATTCTTGCATAATATATTAATATTTTAAAATTTTTAAATCATAAAAACATCTTATATCACTAGAAGTATTAATCGCAATTTTATGTAATAGTATAATATAATGATATACACACAAGTAATTATACGTAATTATTATACATAGTTAATTTTTTGCTGAATGATTTAAGATCGATTATTTTTGATTCAAGAAAAAAAAGAAGAGAAAAAAAGAAAACTCATAGAGATATTGTTACAAATATTTCTTTATTTCTTTCAGACAATGTGTGACCCTACCAATATTAACACCAGAAAATTATAGAATCACTATGGTACGGTGGTTACATTCCGACAGTTCTGTAGTTGATCTATATGATGTTATAAAGTACGTATATCTACAAGTTAAACGTAATATACATAATATGTGCAAACAAAACAGTATTATACGTGCACAATACAACAAACAAACAAACAATATTAATGCAACAGGAAATTTTTTAATTTTATAAAAAAATATTTTATATAAATACTTTTTTTATACTTATTTCTTTTGCCGCGTATGCGAGCATGAATATATTATATATTCTTATATTTTTTTTAATTTATGAATTATCGAATCTTATCATGCATTTCCACGATCGTACATAACTATGAAAGAATTTATGCGCAGGTCACGAAATATTGTAAAAACACATTCAAAAAACGCTATATTTAGGATAATATAATCATATAATATTATATAAAGATATATAAATTAAAAGAGAGGACACGCACGGATATAAAAACGCAATAATTAATAACGATGGAAAGAAGAAGAAAGAAAAAAAGAAATTGAGCTGTATGCAACATTCTACAAGCTTTTTATATTATGATTCACGCGATGCTCTTATTTACTGACGAAATTATTATGTAACATTATTAGGTAAAGCGATTTCGATTTCACAGGGTCGCGCTATCCAGCTGATCCAATCACAATGGATCGATCTTTCGCTTTATTCTGCACGATCTGTAAAATCTTCTCTCTCTCTCTCCCCCCCCCTCTCTTTCTTTGCTCCCTCCCTTCTCTCTCTCTCTCTCTCTCTCTCTCTCTCTCTCTCTCTCTCTTTGCGTAAGTTAAATATGCAAGTCCTTTTCTCTTGTGCTTGCTATTATCGATAATGAGATAGAAACAAGATACTTTCACGCCCTGCTTTTTCCTCTAGTCTACTACAATTCCACTACCTTCAACAGTACACATCGAAAGGAAAAGCTAAAATCAATAACTTCGATAAAACGAGATAAAAAAGGAAATGCAGGAAAAACTGTTGGCCTTTTTTTCGTGCGGATTCTTATACAACATCTCGAGATTAGATAATTTTATATTTTTTATTAAATGAAGCAACTCGGCAACAAATTATATTTAATAGATTTAGTGGACGATAATTGATTGTTATTATATATATATATATATATATATATATATATATATACACCTATATACCTACATACATATACACATATACCCAAAATATAAATATTATACAAATTTTTATTCATCTTTGTAAAAATAGATCAAGATAAAATCAATAAATATACTATTTTTTTAAATATTACAGATATTACAGCATGATAATGGAGACACGTATAGAGGAAGATATAGTTAATTCCGATGTTATAATTTACGATTGTACCAATTTGACTTTCGGTCATGTATTGAAGTATACACCAGTTGCAATGAAAAAACTCGACATTGCTCTGGTATTTAAGAAATAAATAATTTCTTATATGTATATACTATACATATAATATATACTTTACAAAAATTAATACATATAATTATACTTTACAAAAATTAATTTTTATTATTCAATCTATATAGGAATCATACGGTTCAAGAATGAAAGCAATTCATGTGATAAATACACCAAGTTTTTTTGATGTCTTATTGAAAGTAGTTAAATCAGTAATGAAAGCAAAACTTGTTAACCGAGTATGTTAACCGAATATAATTTAAAACTAGAAACTTTGTATTTCATGTGTACATGGATTGGAATAATTATACAGTTTTAACTGCAATTATGATATTTTAGATACATCTTCATATATCCGGAATAGAATCAATATATGGGATTATACCAAGATCTCTTTTACCAGTAGAATATGGCGGTGAACAACCATCACTGAATATTTTATCTGGTACAATATTCTTTACTTCTTTAAAAATATATGTTTTTTTATCAGTGACTTTATTTCGATTTTAAATATTTAAAACGAAATGTTAAAAATAAATGATAACATTTTCACTTGAATATTAATCTATCTGTAATAAAAAATATGATCTCTCTTTAATTTTCATGTAGCTTAACAATAATTATTTTATTTTCACAAAAAATTCTTTTAATTAAATATCTAAACCTAAGAATTCCTTTAATTATTTTATATGTATTATATGTGTGTACATATTGTATATATTTAAAACATCTTTTCTTATATACAAATAAATATATTCATTATATCATAAATATATTTATTATATATTTAGAATGTAAAACATATACTAAAAAATGTTCAAATTTCTTTGATATTGTTTCAGATATGTGGAAAGCAAAATTGATAGAACGAAGAGAATGGTTCCTGAAGGAAGAAAAAGTTAAAGTTAACGAATCTCTCCGATCAAAGTCTGTAATAAATCCGGAGGATCTATTCGGAGTTTCTGGAACATTTCGAAAATTAGACATTGATTAACGTGAATGTTATTTTAAAGATATAGATAATAAGATTTATGTTATCGGATATATACATACAGATATATGCATACACTATAAATAGTTATATGTAATGTAAGGAATTCTTTAAAATATTAATATTTATAAAATAAAATAAATTTTATATTGACATTGTACGTAAAAAATAAAAATTATAGCATACAAGGAGATTATTTAGGCATTATCATAATAAATGATAAATTACACAAAATATATATGACAAATTACACAAAAAATGCACTGAAAAAAAGGCAATAATTGCATAATAAAAAAAATTATAGTTGAGATTCCTATTTTCAAAATTATTACTACTATAACATTGATAATAATAACCTCGTGCGTAGTAATAATAACTTTAAACATAATTGCCACTAAAATATATTTATATAATTTATATAAAATAATTTATATAGAAAATATATTTATATAATTTATATATATTTATGATAATTATATTTTTAGCAGCAATTATATTTAAAATTATTATTACTATTTTATGTGTGTGTGTGTGTGTGTGTGTGTGTAATCATCGTAATCTTATATGATATACAAATTGTTATTGCAATATTTTTAATTATTATTATACATCTTTTTTTTCTCTTAAAGAAACTCTTCTTCTTTTTCTTTAAAAACCCATGTTTGAAAAGCATCATTTAGCTATAAAATAAAATAATCCCCTTACATGTTATTTTTAACAGTTAAATATTGAATTTTGTAATTATAAATTATTTTACTATTAATTGTCGTGATTGCGAAACAGACAAACGCTCGATAAAACACGATTGAACATATAATTCTAAAACTATCGATGCTGTCGACTATATTTCGAATGTGAGACAAGGGCAGCATTGTCGAGAGTGAAAGGGGATTGTATGTTATAGGTATGTTCAAGTCCTGAGGGAGTAGACAGTGAGGTCAGAAGCACGATAATGGGGATAATAAATGGCCTCGGACCGCCCTTTGCAATTCACCCTTGGCCCGTTGAAACCTTTCGAAGGACATGTACCATGCTGAAGCCGCAATTTTCACGTATATATCAGCTTTTATTAATATATGATACTATCAATTTGTTGCTGCATGTAAAGTCGCGCATAAAAACGTATAAAACTTATAATATCATTTCTTACAGAATATCAAAAAGGTAAACAGTAAATTATACAATATTAATAAATATACAATATTAATATTGATAACAATATTACTTTAAAATTAATTCATATATGCGATAATTATGTATATAAATAAATCATCTTTTATTTATAATATAGTACATTTATAATACATTTATATATTTAAAGCAGCTGTTATGAAATGGATAATTAAAACACATTTAATTTGAATCTCTTATATATTTTGATATTCATTAAAATAAATTTATATTTCCTAAAGAAAAAAATCAAAATTTCACAAAATACTCATACATAACATTTTTTTAATGCTACATAAATATGCAACGAAAATCACATATACAGTAAACAACACTTATTGTATTATATACATATTATTCTATATATCATTGTATAATAAAGACTTTTTCACATTATAACTTTAAGAAATGAATACTGTTTTGCTACAGAATTAATAGCTAGAAATCAATAGTCATTGTATCTCTGCAAAGCATTGTCTCGTTTACAAAAGGGCAAAGGCTGCTACGAATGGCTGAAGAGTCGGATTATCACACAATCTGTACGTACTTATTTTCAATTTCCAACAGAAGAAAGGGATAGAAGTTGTCCTTATCTTGCACCAATCCGTGAAGACTTACACCAACTCTGCGGGTATCGCAAAATCTCTCTAAATGGAAATTCGCTGTAGCGAAGTTTCCTCGCTTTCCTATATGCCTCAACACGTTGTCCCTAGTAGACTGATGAGCATGCACACGGAAACGATTCCGCTTTCTGCTCGTCACTGCGCAGGAAGGGATCGAGATAATTCATGAGAATTTCACACATTGCTCATTGTCAGTCGAATTAAAACAGTTATTTGTTAAGATAGTAATCGAAAAAATTCGTGTCATTTAATATTAATGCTGCAAATACATAACGTAATATTCTAAAGTTTCCAGAAAAAAATTAGCTCACACAACCATACGTATTTCTAATTTTAATTATGTTGTACATACATTATAACAATTTTAATTGTTAATTAATATTGATCGAAAATTTTGTATCTAAAAATCTGTAAATCATAGTCGTATTGTTTAATTATGTTATTTTGTTACATAATTATTTAAATAAATTTTTTATCTTTATCAATAATCTGATAAAAATTGTTTTTATCACAAATAAACATATTCTCTTATCATATAACAATAATAATAATAATTAAAACTATTTTCTTTCTAAACAATAATGTAATTTTTCTTTTTTTTCTTTTATATATTAATGAAAGAGCGTCGTTATTTGAAAAAAAATAATTGAATTACTAACAAAAAAGAACAAAAATGGAACAGATAACATCTACTTGATTAAGAAAAATAAATTATTGTAAAATGATTACTTGAATATTTTTCAAAGTAACAAAAAGTGCCATCATCAGTATAAAGTATAAATCGCAGACAAAAAAGAAAAGAATAAATATTGTGATGTAAGATTACGATATATACTATCTTTAATAATCGCACATACAGACACACGTCAAAGAATATATGTATTAGTTGACATAGACGCCGTATTGACCGTATTGATGAAACAATCGATGCAGTTGGAAATTAATTTCAACCATTACCCTATGATATCAAATCAACGTCAGTCATATGATAATGAAACTAATATACAATAAAGTTCAGTACACATATTATGTTTATATCCTTCTTTGTAAAATAAATCTAGTCTGATGATTTATTGCGAAAGTAAATCATCTCAGCTTTTTACGCTTCGTAACGCGGGATGACATCGATGTCAAAATCTAAAGGATCCGTGACTCGCGCACCGGTTATCCCTTTGGAAATACAGAACCATATATTCCCGGATAGGTCACAAAGGAGCACCGAATAGAGAGCGTTGAAAAAGCAATTGCTGCTATCCGTGCGTTGGATAAGGAAAGATTCCTTTCGTATAGTTGTCATAAAAGTGCAGTGTGTTGTAGGCGAATATTCTGCACGCTATTTCCCTCCTCGGCGCAGTCTCGTCTGCATAGTAAAATTCACTTACTAAAATGTCCGAGGGCTTGCATGAGAAAAATCTTGCGAAGTTACCAATGAATAATGGATCCTCTATTTCGGCAACGAGGTCCAAGGACGAAGCTTTCAAAGACAGTATGCATCACTGATTTCTCTTTGGAATATATTTATTCAGATGTGCTACGCCATGGTATAATGTTTTTTACGGCAATGTACGAAATATCTTGTTATTGCATTATGAGTTTGTGTCGCGACATTTCCTTCTCTCACGGGCAACATATGCCAGTCTTTTCTCTAGAAATGTCCTCTTAAAGTTTTACAACTTATTATAGTATAATAAAAATGTTGACTTTATTATATCAATATCATGTTAAAATAAAAATTAATAATTTATATGTATAAAATATATCCACGTAATAATGAGCTGGAAATATCTTGTATTTTGTCTTCTATTACGTTTTATGTCTAGAAATTACTACATAGAATAAGTTAAAATTATAATAATGGCTAAATACTTACTTATACTACAGATGACTTTACATCCTATTATACACATCCTACTATACAACTATTCAATGATATTTTAACCGAATCATTTATTCTAAACACTATCGATTATCGTTGTAAAAATCAAACCTAATTTTGAAGATTTCAATTTACATAAACTAGTACTAAACGTTATCATCTGATTCTTATAATGTCTAAATGAAAGAAATTTGCTAAAAGTAGTTGTGCTAATCATTTTAAACTTGACTTTAAGCAGCTACTAAAATTATGCACTTTTATTTACCACAAATGTCTAATGTTTACATCGTAAACATTAGTCTGAAAAAATAAGATGATTTAATCTTATAAAAACAAGATAATTATTAAAATAATAATCATTGTAAAATAATAGGATTATTTATTGAACAACTTTCAAAATTTCATTCTCATTATTTTTTTAAGTCTTTTCATAAAGAGGAAGGAAATTATTTATAAGACATGTAACTGACAAATAATAGAATGAGATATATGTGTGGGGTAACGTTTCATCACATCTGGATTATTCTACGAACATACGAGCTTTACAAACTTTCATCTTTTTGTGAATAAAAAAACCAAGAAATAATAATTCCTCATATAAAAGAGATAATAAATGTATATATCTCTCTTCGCGATATATATTGTAAGAAAAACGGAGCTCTCTCGGAGCTCTCATCCGAAATATCGTAAAATGTGTCGATTTCGTATTCACCTCGCGATACCGCGCCGCGCGAAATACGATCGTTCGCTAACAAAGCTTTAGCAGGTAAAGGTGAAATCGATAAATTCCGATCGGCGCCGTACAGATGATCCGCGCAAGCGCGTGCGAAGAAAGGTGGATTTAAAATCACCCTGGAAAGAATTGGGCGCATTGGATAAAGCTGTTCTCCGTCGCGGCCGGTCAATCACGATCGTATCTCGAAAGGATGTTCCATCTCGGTCGCAAATGCACCGTGCACGTGAGCCACGTACGATCGCGTGCACGCGTGGCGAATGACCGGCGATGAATCGCACCGCGGACCGCCGAGAGCAGCGTGACAAGAGTAGGTGGGACATAATTCAGTTTTACGAGCCACCGCCACGTCTGCGTTATTTATATAAAAGCGCCGTGGAAAACTCGCCGAATCGCGAACCGAATCCATCCTTCTATTTATTATCGTCGACGTCGTTGTTGCACGTCCTCTTCGTCTTTCCGCCCGCCGCTGCGGCTACGATCTCTTCACCCACGCACATCGAGACGCTCGTTCTTCTTCTCCATGCCTTCTGCTCACCACTGCGCCAAGTCCGAGACGGCTTAACAAGGAATTATTTATTGGGCAAGTTTCTTCGGGAGAAACTTCTGCTGCCGCAGCGGTCGAACATGTGAAAATATGTATACATTGGTTCGATTAAGTGGTCAACAAA